AGCCTATACATCATTCCTAAGGATCTTGGGAAAGGGTCCAAAGCATCTTTGGCCCCCATCAAAAGATCTAAACATAGACCACATCATCAAGACATACCAATGTTGATACATTTGATCTCTATTAGCACTCATATGAGTATTGACTGTCTCATAAATAATACCAATGTCATTAGTTAGATCTTATAGTTATAAAGCTTATGATGGTTATACATATAATCATCTTTTCATTTCAATCAAAAACTGTCTTATCATGATAATAAATTATATTAGAAACTAGTTTCTTGAGCTCTAAAAGTTCAAAAACTTCTTATCAATTCAAAATTTAAGGCAACTGTAACCTTAACCAATTCAGAAAACCATTATACTGAGATGGCATATATGATTATTAATGTAAGGTTTTGTGATATATCAATGATCTCGATAATGATGAATAATTATCAACGATCAACCTCTTGATAAGCATAATCATGTGGTTGTACAAAAGATTATTCATGAATCCAGATATACATACAATGCCCAATCCTATTTTTTAGAATGAGATTTATTCTATTGCTATTTTATTGATACAAAGAACTTTATTAGAATAATCAACACATTTCAAGATTTTTGCAAGGTTCTTCTGCAAAAATATAGGTCATTTCTCGGGCTCCAAAAATCGCATGCTTCCTCAACAAAAAAAGATGGTTACCATTTTTACCACCATCATATGACTGGAATCATCAACGGCACTATTTTCAGATAATATATAATGCAATCCTAGGCCACCAAATTTTACATAATCTAATTAAGCCGCACATATTAATACGAAACAATTTTTTAACTATTTCCACGAGCCGTTCAATCAAAGAACCAGACATCTAAAAAATTAATTTTTCATCACTCTTCATAACGGCTCTATCATTCTCAATGATTTAAAAGGCATGTGAGTTGAGCGGGGCATTTTAGCTATATGGGGCGAGGAATAAGCCCCAAGGCATTAAACATAAACCCCACTTAATAAGAAAAAGGAATATAAATATTAAGAGAAAATAATAAACTATTTGTGCATAACAAAAAAAATTAAACACAAACAAAACAAGTCCTCTAGGAATAGAATCTTCAAGATGTTAGCAAAAAATCACCACAAAAAAGTAGAAACATATAAAACTAAGTAAACATGCTTGAGCCATAAAAATATATTTATGATCATTTGATCTCAATCCTTGAAGAAAATTAATTCTTCAAATTCATCATCAGAATCTTCTTATTCACCAATAGTTGTGTCAAAATCACAATTAGGTCATTCATATTTTCTGCATTCATTATTGACTTCATTGATGTCATCATCATGCTCAATCTCATGTGCATTCATAATTTATTTCTCTTTATTATTGTTACCTAAATTATAAACACAAACAAAATGACATTCGTAAATATTTAGAATCTTTTTTTTCTATAAGAAATTAAGAATGCATAATTATATAAAGAATAATTAAATGCAAATATGAAACATTCTTATTCTTTCATTCATCTTCTCCTGTGAGAATATGTTACAAAAATATTATTTCTTCTTTGTATAATATTTTGTGATTCTTCATTTATATTACTCATAGAAACATTTCTGATTACATGAATAGCAAATTCTTGTTCGTTTTCATTCATCCAAGAAGGTCCACTAAAAGCACTGGATCTCCTTTCTCAACAATCCGGTCATTATCAGAGTTTGTCATTTATCAATATTGGATTGAGCTCTTGTTTTCTTCTTATATTTTTCTTCCTCAATCTGGCATTATATTTTACATATATAAGAGCATTCAATCTCTCGTACTCCAATTTGTTCCTCTTCTTAGTATAAATCTAAGATAAAAAACATTATTTTTAAGAAGTGATTATAAAAGCAAATAATAATAATTTTAACTTAAGTTTTAAGTAAAAGAAAATTATTACCAATTCAAAAGTACTCTAATTTGTTTCACCACTTGATGAACCGTATGTAAGGCTAAAAACTCAAATAGCAAAATTTGTTAACTCGACGTTTTCCTACCAAATCTCATCCGCCAATCAACAGAAGATCTCAAATTTCTTGAGTCTATAACAACTCTACTCCCAAAGTCTTCTATTAAGTCATCATACAAGTCTAGTTGAATATCAGCTCTAAGAAGATCTTCATAACTCAACATTCTTTCTATACAACCCTTCTTTACCTCATCATCATTAGAAAAATTATCCTCAAAGCAAAATTGAGGGTTTAAGTAATAAACAGTTGCATGTAGTGATTTATGAAATTGGACTTCCCATCTTGCGTCAATTTTCCTCCAAATAGATCCATACTTAATTCCATTATGTCCACAATTAAAAGCAATATTTTTCTTTTGTTGAATCCATTAACTCATAAATATAACTCATGTTTGGTCGTTCTTCCGAGTCAACTTCTCTTAGAACATTTACAAGCAGCACACTTTTAATAAAATAAGCAAGATGACCCCAGAAATGTGGATCAAATATAATAACAGCTCGAGCTTTTATACCTTTCATTTTCTTGGCCCATTGACTAGAACACCAAGCTTCTAAGGAGAACTTTGTCTGAAGTGGTTGCTTTTACTTGTAAATGCTTTGAAGAGTCAAATATGTCATAACAAACCGTGTGATAATTGGACAAATGAATTCCCTCTCCTTTGTAAAAGATCTCATTAAACCAAGAACCTATGTGTGCCCAAAAATGAATTTAAGAACTTTTTTTACATTTGCAAGTGTGTTTTTGAATATTTAACTTTCTAATATTTTCTAATATTAGGTCAATATAAAGTGTTGCACATGGTATCCAACAAATATGTTTTTCACTTCATTAACTTTTTACCCACATTCACATAATTGAATCCATTATCTGTGATAATTTGCACCACATTCTTTCTCTCACTTCCTCAATCATGTCATCCAAATATGTGAATAGTAACAGACCACTTTTTAGAGCATTAGAAGCATCCACAGATTTAAGAAATAAAGTCCCACCTGGACTGTTCAAAAGATAATTAATAAAAGTTTTACTTTTTTCATCTGTCCAACTGTCTAACATAATCAAGCAACCATATATACTCAATGTCTTCTTATGCTCCTCTAATATCTTATTGATTATAGCAACATCCTATGTAAATATCCAAGTTCTCAATTTATGTATTTTAGGCGGAGAAAAACCATGTCAAAAATTAGCAACAGCTTAAAACATAAACATGTAATATGGGACACTGACAACATTGAACGTCAATCTGGCTGAGTAGTAGAAGCTGCCAATTACCCTACATGGTTCTATTTTTCATCTTTTTTCCAATTGGAATTTTCAGTAGAATTCCTTGATTGTGATGTGGTGAAAGAATTCATTAGACTTCTAATACTATGTGGCCTCTGAGAGGAGTCAAATAATGTAGAGGTAGCATTTTCTCCATCACCCACATTTGTTGCACTCCCAATTCTTTCTTGCATCTCTCTTGAACTTCAATAGGGGCTTTAGTGCATGCTTTAATGCCCTTGTGTGTGCCGACAAGATGTTATTTCATCTTGTTTATTGTTCCACTACTCATTTGATTGCAAAACATATATATGAAACATTTGTCATGGGTATGCTTGTATACTGTCATGCAAAATTATTCTTCATAGAGCAATTACTACCGGCCACACAATCCTCCCCTTCCATTACAAGTTAATAACCAACCTAACACACTAAAAAAAACAGCATTAAATCTTTAAAACACTCAAAATTTTAAAAAATAATCTTTAGAAGGATTAAAATTATCAAATCTTACTCCTGTATACTTTAAAAAAAATCGTTAACATGAAAGAAAAAACATTTTGGTTCATTATAGAGTAAAATTATTGTAGCGAAAGTAAAACTCACTACAGCTACAGTGAAATGATCAATTAAAGACTTGCAAAGGATTAAAAATCTTAAAACAATCAAAATAACTTGTCGGGTTGTGAGTGGCATGCGGGAAGAAGAAGATGCAGACGATGCTGGTGCGGGAGAGGGAGATGGAGGAGACGTAGCGTGCGGGAGAAAGAGACGCAACGTGTGGGAGAAGGAGACGCAGCGTGCGCAACAGACGTCGCAGATGAACCTACGTGCGGGACAAAGCAGACGGTTCTACTGCGGAATGAAGCAAGTGGTCCTACTGCAGGGCAACGAAAAGGGCTATGGGAGATGACTGCGAGCAGTAGAAGCTTGAATCACATAGGTATGTAGAATTAAGTAATTTTTTGCCTTTTTTACTTGATTATAAGGCGAGGTGTATGCCTGTAAGACGCGAATTGCGCTCTAGACTTTCCCAGGCATAAGCCCTGCGAGATTTGTGCCCCCCTCGTGGGTTTGGGGCAACTTGCCTTACGCCTCACCAAGGGACACGCCCCAAAAATGCCTTTCTAAACAGAGATCATTCCCACAAAACTTTGTAAAATACACGAATAATATTTCTAAACTACTCCAGTTTAGATTAGTTTAAAACTTTATTTAAATTTTATTTTGTTTAATTATTAGGCTTATCTTATTTTTTTTAAGAGATGACAGAATTTTATAGAATATATAGGTTTAAGTTTTGAATTTTAGTTAGACTTAACTTGTTACCCTATTTCTATAAATAGAGACTAAATGGATGTTATGTAGATTATTAATTAATTATTAAATAAAATATGAACAAATTCCACCCCAATGTTCAACTTCTCTTTTGATTGATGGTCTCTCTCCCCTCCCAAGAAATATTTCTTTCCCTCTCCACCCATCGATCTTCTCCTTTCCACTCATGATGTTATCCCTTTTCGAATCAAACGTCTCCCACATATCAGCATTTACATAATTCTATAAAATGAGAAAATAAAGTTCGGTTCCTTCTACAAGCAGTGCTCCTTCCTTTTCAACGTTATTTCTTTTCTAAGGGAAGAAATAAAGTAATTCAAGAAAGGCATTCAAAGAACAAAGGAAAGAAGTCTATCAGTTATGAGCAGACAAACTATAAGGATCAGAACACTATTCTTACCCACCACTTGCTGGAGAAGAATTGAGAACTTCAGGAGGGATATATGCAGCTGTTCCCACAAAAGTGCATGCCTTATCATCTGTAAAAAGAGTAATACTAAGAAAATTACTTAATTATCATATTAAACTCAAAACACATTGCCAAATTACATGTCGTATTAGGAAGGACTGTAAGTTTGCTCGTCATTGTTGGCTTTACGCTACCAAAATCAGCAACCTTAACATGTCCATCTGCGGTGAGTAGCAAATTTTCTGGCTGGCATTTAGAGATTAATTAGTTATTGAAGCAACCAGAGTTACAACGGTATTAAATTTACCTTAATATCACGATGAATTAATCCAACACTATGTATATATTCCAAAACATCAACAACTTCAGCTGCATAAAAACGAGCCTCGTCCTCAGAAAGACAACCTTTCTGCGGCATTGCAAACATGTCAAAAAGCTAAGAGAACTATTAATAAATTTATAATCTAAGAAAAATTATGTCTGAAAGCTCAAAACTTTACCCTTGTTATTTGATCAAACAGCTCACCACCCTCACAAGATTCAAGGGCCATGTCTGCAAAAGGCATAACCCGAGCATAAGTCAAATATAGAAACCAACCCATATAATTGCAAAAGCATGGGCTCAGATCTTAGATGTACATGCTAAATTTTCATGAAAATTTAAAAATTCAATGACCATGGAAAATGAATGCTTAAAAGGTACTACTACTTACAAAGAGAGTAAGTGTCTTGAAAAGTAAAATATAGCCTGATGACACCGGGATGATCCAATTGATCAAGAATAATCCTCTCCAGCTTCACATAAGATATTTTATTTTCTTTAGCAATGAACTTCTTGTCCATTATTTTCAAAGCATAAACATTTCCGGTATCATTCTTTTTTGCCCTCACAACCTGAATTTTAAGACAGATGAAAGGATGGGGCAAGGTTTAAATATATTTGAAGTGTAGCCAAACCGTTATTCAGTGACCAAAAGCAAGAGAAAAACTGCACTAAACTACTGTAAATCAAAATAATACACCATATAGTACACATTCCATGCAATATGGCTTGTCTATCAATTATACATGCGTTAATAATTTGCTATGTTCTTCTTTTTTGCAAAAACTGAAGTGACTTGCTGGCTGATTTTAAACAGTTCAAATATCAAAATAAGGAGTCACTTGAAACTGCAATGAGACGCCATAAAGAATATCAGTATTGCAAGGACTACAATCTTTAATAATGCCCGTAAAGATCCAAGGAGAATCATATTTATTGGTTCTATCAAAATCCTATTGGACAATTAGATGTATTGCATCAAATATTCTTGAGGTTGCTGGTTTGCTATTCAAAAAGATTCTCAACCATCGGCAATTTGCTTCATTAAACCGATCAAAATGAACCCAATGGTCTAGATTGTTGCAATCACTCAACAATCATGCTACTTGTCATGCTACTTGTTGGCCTTACGTGGAATAGAAAATGATGTGTGATGTAGAAACATCACATTCATCAACTGCATTCCATGCAAATGCTCATAACATATCAATTTAGGTATTAAACTTATTTAATTATATTATACATTTTTATATATGTTGTATAGAAAATGGTCTTAATACTAGAACTAGATGAAAATATCACACTAAATAAGACGCAATGGAGAAAAAGGATTCATGTAGCCGACCACACATAGTTAGATTAAGGCTTTGTAGTTGTTGTTTTATACATTTTTATATATGTAATAACGAAAAATAATTTCTTACTACAACGACAACAAGACGTTATCCCTCTAAATGGGATCGGCTGTATGATCCTTTTCTCTATTGTGTTCTATTGAGTGTCATACTTTTATTTAACTCTAATAAATTAAGATCAATTTTTATACAATAAGCACAAGTCTTATTAGGTCTACCTCTACCTTTTTTAACATAAATCATATCTAAGAAAAATTTACTCTCCTAACAGCCATCAAATGGTCAACGTTTAATGTGATCAAACCAGCTAAGACGACTTACTCTAATCTTTTTTGTCACTGAAGCTACTCCAACCAATTCACAAACATATTCGTACCTCATTTTGTCTTTAAATGTAAAGCCACTCATCCCACTGAGCATTCTCACCTCAACAACACTAAACTTTATGCTTCTCTTTTATTAGACAACATTTTGTGCCATAAAGCATTGCAGGTCTCACCACCATCTTATAATTTTTTTTCTTAAGGGCACGTTTGGTCAACTTATTTGGTGCAGTATATTTTGAACATGCCAACTAAGACTTTTGGTTGCTGCGGGGCTACAGTTTATCCTAAAAATTCAATAATAATTCGTGTTAAACGTGGCCAAAGGATCGACCTTGTAGCCCACAATTCTTTGTGTATGTATTGCCCCACCGCCCCTCTCAACTCAGTGGTCCGCTTTCTCGTGTTTCTTCTGCCCTAAGTGCCTCTCTGCCTCCCTCGATCGCTCTCACGAACCCTAAGTACCTCTCTCTCTCTCTCTCTCTCTCGCGTTTCCCTCTTACATCTCTCTCGTTTTTCTCTATAGCCTCTCACCACCTCTCTCTAGTGGTTGTCTTCTCTTCCTCTTCCCTCTGATCTCTAGTTACTATTCTTTGTACGTAATTCCTGCGCTCACTTTCGATGGAATGGCTTTGTCTTTGCGATTTTTTACTTTTTCATTTACAGTTTGTTGTGAGAAGTTCGTGATATTTGCGATTTGTGACTTTCTGATTTCTCATTTGTGATTTGTGCTTTGAGATTTAAGATTTGAATTTTACGAAAAAAATGAAAAATGTGGAACCACTCATTTTTTGAGTGGGAATTCGGAGAATAGATGAAAGAGTGTGCTTGATTTGTATATAGCAATGTTTGGGGTGTCATGTAAGTAACAGGATGAAATGTTGAATATGGGATGACCTTTATCATTACCTCCACTAATTTTTTAGTGGGAATTTGAAAAATGGATGAAATAATAATTTGTACATAGCATTGCTTTGGGTGCCACGTATGTAATTGTCTCAATTCAAAATTACATACAGTTTTTATTGTTTTGTTTGCGCGAGAATCTAAAAAATGAATGAAAGAGGGTGTTTAATTTGTAGATAGCAACGTTTCCGGTGCCTTGTATGTAATTGCCTCAAATGAAAAATATGGGATGGGGTTTTATTACTACCTTTAATATTTGAGTGAGAATTTGAAAAATGGATAAAATAGGGTGCTTGATTTGTACATAGCATTGTTTTGGGTGTCTTGTATGTAAATGTCTCAATTCAAAATTACGAAATGTTTTTATATTTGATGTTTGACCGAGAATTTGAAAAATGGATGACACAGGGTGTTTAATATGTAGATAGCAACGTTTCGGGTGCCTTGTATGTAATTGCCTTAGGTGAAAATTATGAGATGGAGATTTATCACTATATTTGATGTTTGAGTGAGAATTTGAAAAATGGATAAAATAGAGTGCTTGATTTGTAGATGGCAGTGTTTTGCGTAAATTACATATAGGGCACTCAAAACCAATGCATTTATGCTTGAAACGATCAAACCTTTCATGTTGTTGATTGATGTCCTGGTGGTCGTGGGTGGTTTGGAGGAGGTGGTGTGGTGTCGAGGTCTTAGTGTGGTGTCGGTGTTGGTTTTTTGCTGATATGATGGTTGTGTGTTATTGATGTTGGTTGTAGGTTGTTTGAAGGTGGTGGTGTGTTGTGGAAGTAAGTGATGTGAAAGTGGCGGAGTGGTGTGGCGTGCTATTGATGTTGGTTTTAGGTTATGTGGAAGTGATGGTGTGTTGTGGAGGAAGGTGATGTGGAGGTGGTGGAGTGGTGTGGTATGCTATTGATGTTGGTGGTTGGTGGCATTGAGGTGATGGTGTGTAGTTTGGAGGTGGTGTGGTGTGGTGTGGTGTTGGTTATGAGGTAGTGTGATCTGTTGATAAATATGATGGTGGTGGTGTTGCAGATGTTTATTTTTGTGTGGAGGTGGTGATCGGTGTTAGCGTGTGGAGGGGGTGAACGGGGTTAAGGTGTGGGGGTGTGGTGATCGGTGTTAGCGTGTGGTGGAGGTGTTGTCGATGTTTAGGTGTGTAAAGGTGTTTGTGTGTGGAGGTGGTGGCAGTGGTGATGTGTAGGTGTAGCTTGGTGTGGAGAGGCATTGGTGATTATATTGTTATACTTCGCAATATATTATCTTATCTATTTCCCAAATAGGTATAGATTGTGATTGTCATAATGACTCTCAACAATTATATTTGAAGGCATCCTTTTCACAACGACATCAACTTCCGTAAAACAGACGAGAATCACGAGCATGTCCCTACTGAAGCATATGAGTACCGACTTGGACATTCTTTATCACATGTCGAAAATGATGTTCCTGAGACCTATTCTAAAAACGGGGAAGGTGCAAGAGAGGTGGCAAAAATGAGAGAATAAATTATAGATGCGATAGTTGGAGAGTGATTGAACGTAATTTTAATCTTTATGATATTATTTATTTTAATAGTTATTGAAGACATTCACTGTTTATTGTATCAGAATTTTAGACAGCTCATGTTTATTTATGTTCCTTATGTATTGGATATTTACTATTTTAGTTTTTTACACAATTTGTATGTATTTTCTTTCTTTTGCATTTTTTTTTCTTTTAGTGAGTTTTGGAAGTCAATGATGAGACATTTGACATTATGGGTTCTGCTGGATGGTTTGTATGTCGCTATTGGTTGGTGTCACATATGAAATCTTGATGAAGAAAACCAAGTTTCTTTTTTTTTCGGTGTTACGGTTTTTGCGGTTCTTTTGAACCTTTTTTTGGTGATATACATATGTTAAACACACGAGTTTGATATTATGTGGGTTAAAAGCAGCTAAAAATCTTTTTTTTGTAAGGTTTGTTTTCTTATAGTGACAGATTTATTGGTTTATATAATGATTTTTTTTTTTTGTAAGGTTTGTTGTCTTCTTATAGTGACAGATTTATTGGTTTATATAATGAGTTCTCTGAGACCTCACAGGTGCATAAAATCATAATTAATAACTTTTATTATCAATTTTTACTTGTGTTATGCCTAACAGTATATTTTTTGAAGCATTAAGGAAAAATGAGCTTAAGAATTTCTGATACCTCCAGAGGATTGCACTGCTACTGTGGACTTCAAATTTTCCTACTAATTTCACGTCAGCCACATAATTACGATAGAAAGTTTCACAGGTGCCCATGGAGTATCATGGAAATTTGTGACTATTTTCGGTAAGCAGATAGACTCGAAGATTCTATCGCCAAGAGTGATTGGGTGCCCATGACTAAGCAGATAGGCTCGAAGATTCACGTCAGCCACATAATTACGATAGAAAGTTTCACAGGTGCCCATGGAGTATCATGGAAAATTGTGACTATTTTTGGTAAGCAGATGGGCTCGAAGATTCTACCGCCAAGAGTGATCTGGCATGGAGAGTATCTCTGGAGGACTAATTAGCTCATGACATATGTCGTCTATGTTTTAAAAATAATATTATCATATTATTATTTTTTTTAATAATATTTCTCTTAATTTTAGTAGTCATGCTAGTCACTGTTAAATGAGGTGTCTATCTTTATTTTGTATATTTTGCACTGAATATTTGCTTTTAAAATATAGAATATATTGGTATGAACAAGTTTGTTGCAAAAAACATTACTATATAAAGATATAATGGTTATTTGTCCAGATACAACTACAACACAGTGTTTTCAAACTAGAGAAATCAAGCACACAGTAAGCTTATTCACAACAGCCTCTACGCAGCACTTACTGTGCAGCGGCTGCGCAACAGCTTATTATTATGCTGCAGCTTCCCCAAATAGACCCTAAGTCTAAGTGGTACTTTTCTATCACACAATATGCTCGATGTGTTTCTCAACTTCAATCATCTAACT